GAGACGAGCGTCAGGCGCGTGGTCGTCACGTCCTCTATTTCTGCCATGGTTCCGAACCCGGCGTGGCCTAGTGAGAAGCCCTTCGATGAGTCATCGTGGACTGACCTCGACTACTGCAAGTCTCGCCAGGTCTCTCTCTCTCTCTCTCTCTAGCTTCCATTGATGAATGATTTGAGCTTTTCTGTTGTTTCTGAAAGGGATCTCTCATTACTATTACTTTGTGTTGATGACGATCGAGGATAAAAGTCTCTAGTTAAGTTTCCACGTTAATACCAAAATATAGCGTTTGGATATAGAATAGGATGCTATATTTTATATTAAATTTATAATCTGTTAATGTTAATGTCGAATGCAAATATCAATATGCTAATGCCGTATTTGACCAAGAAGAAATATCAACCATAAACCTAATTATCATACATGTCAAATTTAGTATAAAAATAACGTTATGTTTGAGAGTGGTTTTTCTACGTGGATATCAAAATTTAGCATTTTGACTTTTAAACATCAATTTGATGCGCATTGGAGATGCTTCAAGTGTTAAATTTAATACCAAATATAGCACGAGCCAAATTTTGATATTTTTTTTTATTTCAATTTTTTTCCGGTCATTTTTTATCCCTAATTTTTTTATTATTAGTTGATGTGTTGCTTTTTCCACTTGAAAATTACAACATTGTCATTTACAAATTACTTAAAAATTATTAAAAATACCATTTTTTTACAAATTTCAAATACAAAATTTATGACAAAAAATAGATATAACATCTAAAATAGTATGTATTGGTACACAAAATTATAGGTTTACCTAGGATAGACATTAGCTTTGAAGATATCAAAGGGACTAGCAAAGATAAAATACCTCAAAAAACAGCACTGAATTATTCACTAGCCAATCTGAAGTTCTCAGGAAACTCTCTGAGATCTCACTTTTTGACTTAGTCTCACTCGCCAGAAAATTAACTAACTAACCTGCCTTTCTTGAAATTAATTCTGATTGGAGGGAAAAAAAGGAAAAAAAAAAAAAAAAAGCTTTATACCTTCACATTTAACACCTTCCATTCATGTTCTTGTTCATTTTCTTTTTTCTTTTTTTTTCTCAGAAATGGTATCCGGTTTCGAAAACACTGGCAGAGAAGGCGGCCTGGGAATTCGCCCGGGAGCATGGAATCGACGTGGTGGCAATCCATCCAGCGACGTGTCTTGGCCCGTTGCTGCAGCCAAACCTGAATGCAAGCTGCGCTGTTTTGCTGAACTTGCTGCAGGGTGCCAAAGACACTCAGGAGTATCACTGGCTAGGAGCCGTTCATGTTCAGGACGTCGCAAAGGCGCAGGTTTTGCTCTTCGAGACTCCTGCAGCTTCGGGCAGATACCTCTGCACGAATGGCATCTTTCAATTCCGTGATTTCGCCGAGAGAGTCTCCAAACTCTATCCCCAGTTTCCTGTGCACAGGTTAGTATTTTTCTGCGTTACCTTGTAACATTTTATGAGAGCTTTTAACTGTAGAAATCTAGAATTGAAAATTCGAATCGGTAAAATGAACGAGTTTTTAGATTTTGCTCTGCTGTGATAAGACATATTGTACTTATGTTCTGGTGTGCTATCTCATGTTACTCCATATCAATCCTTTCTTTCTATCTGAAACTTGAATCTGTTTTCCCAAGATTGGTTGTTATCATTGTTGGTGGTTTGTGGATTCCGAAAGTTGTAATGATTGTGGAGTTGAAGGGAAAATATTGTATGATTTGGGACATCACTTGCCAAAATCTCAAGCTAATTATGTTGGTTGGAGCAATGGTGCCTTCCAGTGTAAGATTATAGCATCTCCAGTGCAGTGTCAAATTAATGTAGTGTGTTAATTTGAAATTATAGCACTTAAGTAGGAAAATTACTCTCGGATACAATGCTATTTTTAATGCTAAATTTAGTATATGTTATAATTGGTGTCATACTAATTGATTGATATAAACATTTTCATTTAATCATTATAACATTGTCAGTTTAAATTTTTTTAAGTTCACTTTTACAAGTTCTAAAACTTAATAATTATGAGAAAAAATAAATCTAACGTTTTAAATAGTATCATTAAGCACAAAATAGAATAGAGTAAGTCTAGTATAAAAATTCATTTTTTAAACTTCTTAATGTCAAGTATAGCATTAATATTGTTTGCATTAGAGATGGTCTAATACTAATCTATATATATAATGGTACAGCGGAAATTGGATAGGAACTTCGAAATTTTGCTGTGGTTGAAATTGTCTAGTGGCAATAACACCTCAAATAATAATAGGACTAAACAAAACTTCTTCAAAAGTGATGGCCTAATAGTGAATTTTCTTCTCTTGGTGTATAGAAAGTAAGATGGAAATGAGATTTCTTTTGTGAATATTATATATATATATATATATATATATATGAACAAGTACTTCTTGAAAGGCAAGTTTGGTGATTGATTATGGTGCAAGTAATGAAAGGTCCATTTCTCCATTGTGAGATGTGATGATCCAAGGTGAATGTCATGATCGCACTTCATGTGGTGCACAGGTGGGCTTGAGAGATCAATTATATCTATTCAATGAATGAAAATCTCTTATCTTCATTCAGTTCCCATTCTGCCTTATCCACTTTGTGATTGTTTAATAGTTGGAGTAATCCATTCAATGATGGGCATTTTGGATCATCATTGTGTCCTGGATTGCCTACGGATTTCTTCTATATGTGTGTGTACATATATATTCTATATATTATAAAAAGAGCAATGATACACGTCTTGAAAAATTTTAGTATGAATATACACATGTCAAGATTTTGTAGGTTCTGTAAAACTGAAATGATGGATTAAAAAATTGTGAAACTACTTTTTCACGGTGTGTGTTAGTGTTGTTGTTGTTGTTGTTTTTTTTTTTTTTTTTTTTTTTTTTTTTTTTTTTTTTTTTTTTAATAATAAAAAGGACTGTTTCCTAGGATTTGAATTATTTTCATAAACGTCCTTGATCCTTCCTATCTATAGTTTGATCCTCTACACCAAACAAGGCCCAAAAGAAATGTTCAATGTTGGAAGGAGTTTTTCTTAGCTCAACGATATCCATGTTTGTCCAGCCCATCTTTCTTAACTCATCTTTTAGAGCTTCATGACATTAGTACTTGATGGCCATTGGAAAGTGAGGACATGTTCCCCCACATATGTGTACATATACATACATACATATACATACATATATATATATATTACTGTGGTTGTGGAAGCTTCACCTACCATACGTCCCTTGTGTCCCATCAAAGTTTCTGATCTTGGTCCCCGTTGTTTGAATTTTGTTGGTTTTTAACTTTTTGATTTGAATAGAAAAATTCAAATTATGTAGTTTAAATTATAGTTTGAATTGTTATTTGGATGTGCAGTTAAAATTTTAATTTGAACATGAAATAAAATTCAAATTTGTGTTTAGTAGGTGTGAAAAGCAGAGAGAGTAAACACGTTTTACTGTTCAAAATGGCTTGAACAGTTGAACTTGAGAGATAAGTTAAACTCTAAGTTTAACCGTTTAACTCAATTTAAACGGAAAATATAATTCAAACTGCATACTTACCAAACGTCTATTCAAACTGTACTTACTATTAAATTAAATTGAACTGAACTAAACTAGTGAAACAAACAAGAACTTAATTATTATAGACAAGTGGTGCAGATAGAAACATATATAGCCATTCTCTCTCTCTCTCATCAGGTTTAATAATTTGATTTGTTATCCAATAGCTTAGAATCCTAGGCAGCCCCTTGTCTATTTCTTGTCCTTTAACCTGAAGCAGAAAAGATTTATATCTTTATAGCTGGTAAATTCTTAGGAAGGAACAATTAGAGAGGAGTTATTTTCTTTGTTAGTCTTTGCTTGCCAATAAAGTTGTATGATAAAATCTCAATTTAGAGGATGATCCTTGTTATTCTAAATCAGACGGTTCATATTATATGAGACTAGGCTGCACCATTATATCCGCTTTGTAAGTATCGATCGATTTAACTTTTAAAGTCGATGCCGATTGTCCCAATTTATAGAATGAAATTATTTTTTTAAAAAATAAATGAACAAAAAAGACAATTACAAGTTTAAGTAGTTATTTCCAAGAACACGACTGTTTTTCACTAGTTTTCATGTTCCACGAGTTTGTGCCCCCTGAAATGTAGACGCTCAATAGAAATGATTACCCATTTGCTTTTTGATGGGCCTTTTTTGAAGGTCCCAACTATTTATAATTATGCACACACAATAGTGTTTTGCAATAATTAGTAAGGTTATCATTACATTAGTTCTTTAGTCTCTGGGGATTGATTTCAAGGAAAAAAAAACTCCTTAAATATACCATCAAAATGCAACAGCTTTATATTTATGCCATTTTTATTGATTAGAAAAAATTTTCTTGATAGAATATCAAAAACATTCTATAAGAAAACACTCCAAAAATGTCCAGCCATAAAAATTTTTTTTTAATAATCTGATAGGACATTTGTAACATCCTACTAGTATATTTTTTAGTGAGTTTAGTGACATAAATTTTAAGTTTGTACCATTAAGTTTGCCATTGTCAGCTTATAATAGATTTTCCAGCAGGAAATTTAAATTCTTGGGGGCAAAGTTAGAGAAAACTAGTTGGCAATGCATGCCACAAGGAAACAGGACAAGCTGGAAGTTTAGATTTGAAGGTACCAAAGACATTATTAGTGTACAATAAAAACAAAGTTGAAGTTATCATTGGTATTATCAGCTTTGGAACTTCTGTCAGTACAGTTTTTTGGGCCGTATATACAAACTTATTGCATACAGTTTTGTCCAATTCCCATATTTTATAAGAATTCAGCTGATGGGATCCATAAGTTTTTATTTCTTTATTCAGAGCACCAACAATTAAAAGCAAGTACATTTTTTTTTTTTTTTTTTTTTGAGGATTGTTCGACACTTTTGCTAACTTTTCCACACTTTGGTAAGTTGTTTCCTGTAGTTCTAGTTTTTAGTAAATTATTCCGAAATTTAACAGTGTTGGAAACCGTCTACCAATTGATAACAACTATTAAAATTTGGACTGAAATGCCATCGTACAAATAACGTGAGCCACTAAACAACTCATGTGAACACAGAGGTTGAGGCATCGTTTATTTTACTAATTTGAGTTTTTAATTTTAATTTTGTTACTGTAAAAAATTCTCATAAAAATGCACATTTAATTTTTATGTTACAGTGAAAAACTTTCATATAGAATTACATCTCAATTCGAATTAAAAACTCGAATCTACGAACTGAATGAGGTCTAAAATTACAGAGCATATGCTGTTTGTAAATGAGGATTTTCTGTCCAATAATTTTAACATCTTTGATTGATTTAGGGATATTTTGATATTTTCTAGATTCAAAACAAATTAAAACATCAGGTACAACTTGCCAACAATACACTAAAAATTCATAGGACAAAATCGCCAAAAATGTACATAAATACACACACCCATATAAATGTATGTGTACTTGTGTATATATATATATGTATACATGCATTGTCTTACGTAACAAATGTAACATTTTTCCTACGTACTTGTAACTTGTGGGTGTAACATGATAATGCTAAACCAAGTTTAATGTAACATGGCAAGAGACTACATTTCATTAAGTGCTACATTTGAACAGAAAATGTTATATTTATTGGATTGGTGTGGCCACCAAACCGAGTACATTTCCATATATGCAATTAAGTTTGCGTTTGGTTAGTGAATTCGTGTCATAATTCAAATCATGGTTCGTAGTTCGTTACAGTATTTTCTCTCGCAAAAAACACACGTAAACCGAGAATGATTCTGAATCATGTTTCTTATTGGTTTCTTTTCATCATCTTAGGTTCAATGGGGAGACCCAACCAGGTTTAAAGGAATGCAAAGACGCAGCAAAGAGATTAATTGATCTGGGGCTGGTATTTACTCCTTTAGAAGATGCTGTGAAGGACACAGTTGAGAGCTTCCAAACTAAGGGCTTCTTAGGACAGTAAATTAATATAATACATTAATCATCTTAAGTTGGTTTTTGCTGTTTTTCATTAATGTTTGGGAGTAATTATGAGTGCAAATAAATTGTCATTATTAGATTACTCGTCTTTTGTCGTTGTTCCACTTTTGGTTCCTAAAGTTGCTTTAAATCTTTGATTATTGTTCATCATTATCTTGTAGTAAAACTTTTTAATAACAGTAGTGAGAATATTATCAAGTCGAATAATTTAGGTGTATTATTTGTTTTAGCAAAAAATTTCTAATACCAACAAAGTGACGTGTACCTTTTTAATTCGTTGAAGTGATTATGTCAATCTATAAATAAATAAAAAAAATTGAGTTTAAATATGCTACCGTATTGATTGTCTCTTTAATTAAATTTTGATACCTCATTTAATTACACAAATATTTTAGTATTCAGTTCTTATTCATGTGGTCATTTATTAAATTTAGATAACAAGGTAAATAAGTAGTGGAGAATTGATTAATAAAACAGAAAATCGGGGCATGAAAAATGGAAACAATAATTCGAACTCTTAAAAAGTTGCATTTGTTATGATTATTGATTATTGTACTAAAAATATGTTTATCAAACCGTAATTGAATATAATAGAAAATGCAATACGCTTAAAAGAGAAAGAAGAAACTGAATGAAAATGAGGATTATAGACTCCTTTTTTTTTTATTGGTTACTCATCTATTGGAAGGTGAAATTGAAAATAAAATAAAAAAATTTCCAATTATTATTTTTTTCCACTAAAGTATCATTGTACATAACAAAATAATTATTACTTGAAAAAGCAATATAAGTAAACTCATCGTTTATTTCAATTACCATAGAAATAATACCAAAAGAATTATACATGATCAATGATAAGGTAAGCGATTTACATTTCTCGTTCATACATAAAGTAAATATGTCCTGAAAGTGTTACTGTTAATTGTCGATTGTATTGTCGTTATGAACATCCATTGTTATACTTGATAGTGAGGGTTATACATAATATATATATATATATATATATATATATACACACACACACACACACCATTATATATCACTTAAGTTGACAGTACTACATTTGATCTTGTTGTATCGTTGTCAATTCGTTTAACAAGTTTCTTTTTTCTTAATAAGAAATGTGCTTTAAGCATGTGAGCTTCAACCGCATGGGTCTATAATCCAATGCTACCAAACAAAATAAAAAGTATATGTATATATATATAGCAAATGGGTATATTAAAGGCTTTAAAATGTGATATGTTGATGCTGTCTAATTAAAGAACATCAAATGGAAATGGCGAATAAGTACTCTGAACTGCCTTTACAGAATTAGGACCACCGCCCCTAAAAGCAATACATACATATATATACATATATATATATATATATATATATATATATATAAACTGGGACACAATTGGCCATCTTTGTGTTTGGTAGTGGGCAGCCAAAGGCCTCCTAATCACGTGATTATGGGGTCCTTGCGAAGGTGTTTTGGTAGACTTTTTTTGTCACCCATGGATTGTGACCCAACAAAGTAAGAAATTAATAGACAAATATTGAATATCACTAGTGGTGAATAGATGCATACTACCATTTCTCTTTTGAGAAAATTAAAAGTGGCATGACACAACTTCTATCTAGTTTCGAATTTATGTAAGTTTTCTTTTTTTTTTTTTTCCTTTTTTTTAGTAGTTCAAATTTATGACAAGTTTTGTTAATCTCTAACCACTACATTTATGTGACACAAACCCGAAATTACCATATCCATGGTATAATTCCGAAAGTGAAGTTTTTTGTCACCTTTTTCAAATTCTCTATTTCTTTTGATCACACATTAACAACATATTACTCGAAAGCCGATGAATAAAGACAAAAAAAAAAAAAAAGAAAAAAAAAAGAAATAGAAACATCTCGATTAAGCTTGGTACCCTCAATCCTGAAATATCGAATTTATTAAAAACAAAATAAAGAATAACAAAGATAAATTAAAAGTCAAATTAAGAACCTATGACCGAAGGCTTACAATCAACTACATTAACAACATATTAATCATGCACTAAACATATTAATTTATTATATAAAAAAAAGTAATTAGAAGACAAACAAACATTCACATCAACAACAAACGGATCGTGCACTAAACATAATATTATAGGATCAGATCAAATTTTATAAGTCAATGCTATTGGTGAAAACCAGGACTATAAACACTATTCCAACCAACATTAATATTTTAGTCCATGAAGAGTCCTATCACAATATTAATGGAATAATTCACTATACCTATAGTAGCGTTCCTTCCACTTAGCACCAGTCACGCCATTTAATTTATTTATTATTATTTTTTTTTTTCAATTGGTTGTATGCAATTCATTTTTAGAGAATTCTATGATATGGCGTGAAATGGAAAAATAGTAAGATTTTCAACCGTCTAATAATAGTACAATTATATTATATAATAATTTAATGAGATTTGATGAAAACACAGAGGATTTAGAACTATGTCTTAATGCACTCTTTAGTTTATTAATTCTCTAAAAAACCTAAATTATTAGAAGGTGAGCCAACAATAATTTTATATTTTAAAACTCTTTCTTCACCAATACGTCAAACAATGGGCAAATATGTGGGAAACTAAAGGCCTAACATATGAAAATAATTTTAATAGGGAATGATAATGCAACTATAGAGTAGTTTATAATTTTTTTTAAAAAACTTAATAAATTTTTAGGAGGTGGATCAACAATAATTTTATATTCTACCGGTATGAATTCCTTTGCAAAATAACTCTCGTAGCACCAAGAGCATATAAACTTTGCCTTTTGGCTTAGCTTTTGTTCTTTAGTCTTTACCTCATCTCTCTCTCTCTCTCAAAACTTTTCTTTTTTATTTTTTTTTCTATCTTGTTTTGAATTTCCTGATAGCCACCAACATTCCATGTGCGCCATCTTCCACACCCCTTGTTCTTGGTGCCCCTTTGGCTCCAAAAAGAATCTATCTTTTCCGAGAGAGAGAGAGAGAGAGAGAGAGAGAGAGAGAGAGAGAGAGAGAGAGAGAGAGAGAGAAAGATTAAACATGGGTGCGCGTGGGGCAGTGGAGAGAGAGAGAGAGAGAGAGAGAGAGAGAGGGAGAGAGAGAGAGAGAGAGAGAGAGAGAGAGAGAGAGAGCAGTATTAATCATGGAGCTGCTTCTGGCACTGCATGTGCATCAATGGCTTCGGCCCACTACATATTATTCTACACTCCTCCCTTAGCTTCTCTTCAAATTACAAGTATTCTTTATTAACCTTTACAAATCCCCTCTCTCTTGTATTGTATATATATGTATGTATATATATACACACACAAAAGAACATATTGTACATATCGTTTCCTAAGAGCCCCATGTAAAAATAACAAAAAAGAAAAAGAAAAAAGAAGGTAGCTAGATAGACCAAACTTGATCAATTATCCCTAGTACTTGAAATATGCAACCAAAGATGAGCAATAGATCAGCCATAGCACCTTGTAGCCGATCATGGTGAGTGAATCAAAACAACTTTTTTTTTTCCTTTTTTTTTTTTTTTTTTTTTTTTTTTTTTTAAATTTACATAGCTAGAAATCAGACTCATTTCATTGTCTTCTGAATTGGGTTTTCGATATTTTCGAATATGAACTTTGTTTAATGCCATGAAGAAATAATTGATGAAGGTCCGTAAGTGAGGATTCTCTAAGAAGGTATGTGCACTTCGCGAGTGAAAGTTGCATTCAAGAACTGCTTTCAGCTTCAGACTCCAATGGCAATGGCGGAACTAGTGTTAGTAGTGATGGATGGAAGGTTCTTAATCTCGAAAATGGAGTCGAGATATCGAAGCGCCGCTCCGGTTCGCTCCACACTTTCCGCAGCCGCTGGCTGCTTAAATCCCTCTCGCCTCAGCAATTCATCACTGTTGCCAACGCCATTGATGCTGCAAAGGTGATCAAATTTTTATTTTTATTTTTTATATTCATCTTTCTTTTTTTTTCAACACTTTCTTTTTTGTTTTTCCATAATTCAAGGAATTAAACACTCCCAAATTACCGGATTAATTAGCGAGCTCGAGTTTAGAACTATGATTAAAAAAAAAATTGAACTAGAAATTTCAAGTATGATAGCTCAAAATTGAACTTTGTACTAATCATTCAAAAAGGTACAACATGAAAGTAAAACTAATTAAGAAGTACTTATGTTAATTTTAAGCTCTTAATTCGCAAAAACAAAAACAAAAAGTTTCCCCTGTCCATAGTCTACTCTAATGAAGCCGGAAATTAATCTCTCTCTCTCTTTTCTTCAGAAATATTGGTGTTATAAGACGACTTCACTCTTTCACAAACTGATGAATAAGTTAGTTAATTATGTTACTTAATTTGGAACAAATCAAAAAGAAAAGAAAAGAAAAACTATATATGTAAAGAAAGTTTTGTCACGTAGTATTGCTTATTATAGTATATATGATTATATATTTTTGGGATAATTGTCTTCATTCTAAATGACAAAACATGTAAACTTTTATCGCTTTGCGAAAGGAATCTGAAGTTTATGCATATATATATATATATATATATATGTATGTATTAATGAAAAACATGCATATAATTAATGCAGCAATGGGATTCTGATCTGGTAGAAGCCAAGTACATAAAAGACCTTGAAGAGAATCTGAGCATTATTCGTCTGAGGTTTGGAGATAATGCTAAGCCACTGTTTAGGAATAGAGAATTCATTGTCTACGAGCGACGTGAAACCATGGAAGATGGCACCTTGGTAATCATCTATATCTATATATATATATATATATGTATTTATATATTACATTAATTTATTTCTTTCCCCATGTCCATTATGATTTCATTCATTAATCGAAAATTCATTTGGGTGTCCAAAATTTAGTAAAGCAAATTTGATAATTAAAGTTTTATTATTCGATGTCCAAATGTTGTTAGGATCCTTACCGTCTTGATGGTTCTAATATACTCTTTTAATATGTTGATTTAAACTGGGGACGTGAAGACACTACTGATTTTTTTATTTTTATTTTTTTTTTGAAATAAACGTTGTTAGGAAAAATTTAATTGTCCAGCCTTAATGATGGTAGGGACAGAGACATGAGTAGTCTAATTGGGAGATGCAAACAAGAAGAACAGATTGTTGATGAAACGGATCTAACACCCATATGATATCGAACAATTTTCAAAGATCATTTTTAGTATTGTTTGGCACAATTAATCAATTCTTCCTGTTAAAAGTTTGATAAATATGATAAATTCACACGTCAATTCTGAAATCTAACAATTATTTTACGATGCACAACCCTTTTTTTTGGGATAAATTATTATTATTTACAAGTCTTGGATATATGAGAAAATTGTGAAATTGATCAACTTGGGCATGTAGGTGGTGGCAGTTGCTTCACTGCCAAAGGAGATAGCAGCAGGATTGGAACCAAAGCAAAACAATGCAATAAGAGGACTGCTTTTGCAATCAGGCTGGGTTGTGGAGCAACTTGAAGGTGATGACTCATGTATGGTCACCTATGTTGTTCAGGTAAATTAATCATATATGCATTTTTCTTTTTTCTTTTTCTTTTTTCTTTTTCTGTTTTCTCTCTTTACTTGACATGGGAGTTATCAGAACAACTTTTTGCTAAAGTTAACAAAAGAAAAAGAGAAAAAAAAAAAAAGGGAAAAAAGCAAAAAAGAAGAGAGTAAGAGTTATTTGGTAGAGTGTGAAAAAATACCCTACTGGTAAAATACGATTTTTAACCGCCTAATTTTCATCTGATTATCATATATTATTTAATCTGATGTAATAATTAGAAAATGGTGTCCTATCGATGGGTAAGTTCCATACCCTACTAGCGTCACAATTCTAAACCGTCATATCTCTGAGTAAGTTACATTAAACTGTTTACTTAAAAAAAAAAAAAAAAAAAAAAAAAGTTCTATCGAATTGTTATATATGCTTTTTTTTTTTTTTTTTTTCTTAACTGATTCTGATATAGTCTAACCATTTAGAAATGTGTTAAGGTTATTTTTTTTTAAGCCCGTCACAAAATTCTCTAATAATTAAGATTTTCTCAAGCAAACATCTTGATCGAGCGGATTCCCACTCTTCATTTCACTTTTAAAAATGGAAAATACAAATTAAAGATAAACATGACCAAGCAATTCCATTAATTGATATGGAGATTAAGGGGAAATAGTAGAAAAAAGGCTAATATGAATAGCTTAAGAAAGTATATAGGCCAATTTTTAGTTATAGAAATTAATAGGTCATAACTTATCAAGTTATGGTTCATAATCAGATAAATTATAGACAAACTTGTCAAGTTATGATTCATAACCAGACAAGTTATGGACGAAAATAGTAATTTGGCATATTTATTAACTTATGTAAACTATTGGCCTATTAATTTTAATTCATCTCAAGTCTTAGCCTATTTCCCTCTTTCTTCCGAGATTAAGCAAATCAGACCGGATATGTTAAAGCATATTGACCAGTTATATTATAAATTTTTTTTTTTTTTTTTTTTTTTTTTTTTTTCTCAGCTTGATCCTGCTGGATGGCTTCCCAAGTGCTTTGTGAATCGACTCAACAACAAACTGGTTATGATAATTGAGAATCTCAGGAAACTAGCACAAGGTTGCCCAATAAACAAGGATACATAATTCAACTTATCTATAATTGTTTGAATAATTAATATCACAAAAGTTAGAAGACGATATTGCATTAATGATATCGTCAATATTATATTATTTCAAATTGATTATACCTTTTTTTTATTTTTTATTTTGCTAGTAGAGTTAAATGAGGCATCAGGCTTATTAATCAGGCTTTGAACCGTCCTTGTTGTAGGGCTGATGTTACTAATTGTAAATTGCCCAATATTTTTATAATTAAGTACTACTTTTCAATATCCACAGACTAGGCACATAAAGCTTTTTTATTAAACTAATCATTTATGTCTTAGACCGCTTGGTTTAGCAGCACAGAGGGTTTGGGTTGGTGTGGGGCTTAAGCGAAGTTTGCGACCCTGTTGTATCAAAAAAAAAAAAAAAAAAAAAAAATTTTTTTTTTTTTTTTTTTTTTTTTTTTTTGCCAAAAAGTCCTTAATTTCAACCGTAAATTTGTATAAGAAACTGTTATGTATATTCTTTCAATCTAATGTGATTTTAACTAAATCTAACGGTAAAAAACAGACCCTACAGATAGAGAAGTCCTACCAAAGAAACTATCATCTAGGCAATCTTTTTTTAGGGACTTTCTGTAACGATCCATCACGGATCGTCATAGTTATCTTAACTTTTAAATATTTACCTCTTAAAGAATGCGGAAAATAGTTAAGCTTAAAACACTTTACTTTTAATGACTTGAAGAAAACCTAGAATTTTTTTTAAAAAACATATTATAACTTTAAAAATTTTGAACTTCCTCAAAAATAAAAAAAACCTTTCGGTTCAACTTAATTATTAAAATCCATACTGTGAAATAAACTTAAGAAAAGTCTAAAATATTCTTCAAATCAAAACCACCATAAACCAAAGTTTCAAAACAATGAACAGTAAAAATTAAAACTTTATTTAAAGTAAAGGACTTTCATTCCATGATCGTTTCTCCCATTTTCCTATCGCGCATAGCTCGCATATGCTCCAAGATTCTCCATGGCTACATCTTACCCTTTAAATTGTCTGCAACATGAAATAACTTATATAAGCAAGGGCTTAGTAAGACGCTTAATTCTCACAAATGTAAATGAACATTTTATTCACCAATAATAAACGTCATCATGAGAACAATTATTTTTGAACATATTTTAACTTTAAAATCCATCATATATTGGGCCCAACGTTGTACCATCATAGCGCGCTAGCCACAAAAAATATGGGGTAGTAAATCTCATACCAACCGTGACACTAAGACTGCTCACTGGTCACCATTAAGGGTGTACAATGCCATTTAAAAATATAAAAATACATATATACATTTTTCTTCAAAACATCATCATAAGAGAAATATAAAAAGTGTCATAACATCATCATAACCATCGAAATCATATACTTCTCAATTATTCAATTTATGTTGCAGGTGAGAGTGTACTTACATAAACGCCTTACTTAACTTTTTAAAATTTCCCAACGGTGACATGACGAATGAGGTCCTCGGGTGCTCACATCTAAAACCGTTAATGCCATATTGAAACAATGTCTAAAAGGCCAATTCCATCATTTAATAACATCAAGACACAAAAAATTCCCAATAATTATACAAATTTCCCCAATCTTACAAAATCTGACAGATTGATCTTTATCTCTTTAAAATTCATAAAAAAAAAATCATAAAAAACTCAAATAACCTGAAACTGGTGCTAAATGAAAATAGACATCAAGATCTTTCCAACGACACCTTATTTGTTAAAAACAGAGTTTGTTTGGTCCCTCAAACACTGTTAAATTAGATCATATAAGCTGAAAAATTCCAGCACGGTAAACTCCGAAAATACCAAAATAAATTCATTAAAGATAAAATCAATTCCAACCATATGCATACTTTAACCAGCCCTAAGACATGTTCCTAAGACATTCAAATCACACATTCTATAAAATTTCTCATAGCAAAGCGAATTAGAAACATCAATATGACCATTAAAATTCACATATCTTGCAACTCGAATCCAAAAATAATATACTAACTCATATTTCTATAAAATCACAATTTATAACATAAAAAGGAAACAACAATATAAGAAAATAACATAATTCTTAACATACCTCACTAGAATTTATCAAATTATGAAGACACCCAAACACCCAAAACATAACCGGATCATACATGATTACCCCAAAATAAAAACATGTACCCATGAACATTAAAACCTCACCTAAATCACATATATCCTTCCTCAATCGTTAACCAAAGAAAATTATTCATCATCTTCTTAAACCAAGAGCCAACACCAAAGGAAATCACCTAATAACCATGAATACTAAATTAGAGATGGAACATACCTTGAAATCTTCTTAATTGTGGCTTGGAAGAACCAAAGGTTTACAAAAAGAGGTTAAAAAATAATGGAAGTTTGATGGCTTGTCTTGGAGGCTCTCTGTGGTGTTTTTGAAGGAAAAGAAGAAGAAAGAGGGAGGGAGAGAGAGAGTGTGTGTAGGAATTGAAAATACATATTGACTCATAAATCATGTAAAATTAAAAAAAGATTGATTTGGCATAAATTTGAGGATTAATTCTTTGATTAAATGACCCTTAACAGCTGGGAAAATGACTATCATTAGGGTGTAAAATCGTGTGGAAGACAAATACAAGAGTTAGGTCAACTTCTAGAATTTTCGTTCTTATTCGCGTGCAGTAACCTGGTCGGAGACTGCTGGATATCCGGATGGTATACTGGCCGCATCTTCTTACTCCAATGTCCGATTTGCGTAAATGAGTAGGGGTTGGAAAATTTATGAAAGGATCTAAATTTTTCTATAAATTATAGGAATAATTTCAGAATTTTAAAGGTCCAAAATGGAGCTAAAAATTAACGTCATGGAAATGATTCTTTTGTCTAAAAGGAAAAATAAAAGAAAACGTAAAATTTTCCTAAAGACACTTAATTTCATGCAATATAACTTGAAGTACATCATATCATGAACATATATTCATTTATCAAATCATCAAAAAAAAGAACATATATATATATATATAATTTCTATAAAATGGCATGAACTTGTTCTTAGCACCTCGAGTCATTTTCGCGTTCACCTATAAAATATAACTCAACGCGATGTTAGAATTAACTAATTATAATACATAACATTATTTAAGTTAATTTCTAACATCTATTTCTACTACTTTGTCAATTAGAAAAATGGATGCTACACCTGCTCCGGTAACATATCGGTAGGCTAAGTTTTTTGTCTGTCAGATATGCATAAAATCACGTAAAAATTAAAAAGCATGCAGATTCAATGGTTAAAAAAATATGACTTACTAGTACACCAGACGTACAAGAGAATCTCTATTTTTTTTAATAAGAAATGTGTAATCACCACTAAGAAATTTTTCTAAGCAAAAGTACAAAAGTACTATGTTGTTACTATCAATTACTACCCAAGATCTTTAAAAAAAAAAGATATACAAATTTTATTGCAAACATTTAATGTACATGTGTTAGTTATATTAAAAAAATAATAATAAAAAAGAACAAGAACAAGAACAAGAACAAGAAAAGTTAAGTTGCTTATCCCACATACGGAATATAAAAACATATAAAAACATATGATGGATCGAATGGATTAGTAACATTTTGTGACTTTTTCTTTTTTTTTTTTTTTTGGTAGAAAGTAACATTTTGTGATTTGAAGTTTTCACTTTATTGGTCATAAATACAAGGGATAACTACATTAACTCCCCATGTTTTGCTCATAGAGAGATCACAATTTGCGCAATTTAGAGAAATATCACTTTTAGAAAGTTGAATTTCAAGCACACATTTTTTTTTTGGGAAAATTTAAGCATAATTTTAATATCAAAATTGTACAGATAAATAACTAACAATTTGGGGGAAGACTAGTGGGCTTGGCTGATCAACAAGATGGCTAATAAAGTCACAAAGCTATGTGGAACAGCGTTGAAAGATAAAGCACTAATTTTTATGAGGATATTTTGTCTTCAATTCTTTTGATATATTTATTCTCAATCTAAAATTTCATCTTATAAATAATGACTAACATAGGCAAAGACAAGCCTGTGAACTAAATACCACCAAATTGAACATTTTTGAGTTCAAACAACGCTCAGTTATTAAGGCTCTTATCTTTTCTCATCAAATGGACTCTTGGCTGCAAGGATGGAAGGTGGTTTCCTCGTGATTCAATCTTCGCGACTTACCGACGTAGACGTCGATTCTTTGTCGAGGTTCGAACCAGGATGCTGCGCAATGGTTTCGATCTCTCTCGCGCCCTCGCTCATCGTAGGCCTGTCTACTCCTTCATCTTCAACACATCTCATTGCCAAGTCCACAAACCTTTCGAAACCGACTATTTCTTGGTCAAGAACCGTTTGGAGGTTGTACAAATGTTCAGTTTTGTCCAGTGTTGTTCGAACTTCTTTCACAATGTATTTCCCTCTCTCGATAGGTTTTCTCGCGGTGATGAGCTCCAGCATTAACAACACCATTGGTTTTAAACTATTAATATTCAAATTCACACGTCAACTGCAGAACACAAATTATAAGACAAGTACTCATCACGCATGCCGAAATTTGACCTGTCGAGAAAACGGTGGTGATATTCGGAGGTGAAGTTGAAAATCTTGTTAAACCGCCTCAGTTCCGAAGAAGAAAGTTCAGGTGTTAATATACATGATATAAGATTTGTTAACAACGCTGAGTATAGTGGTAAATTGGCATGTAAGCAAGTACCACATTTGTTATTGGTAAGCTGTATGTTGCCTATTATTATTGATATTATTGATTATTATCATCATTAACAAATAACATTAAAACTTCATATCATTATCCTTATTGTCATATATATTAGATTTCATGTTTTTATTGTTGGGGAAAATTTCATTCTTATACTCTAGACCCTGGTGCTCAAGAAATCTCATTTAGATGCATGTTCTTGTTCGCCCACAAGCTTACGGCGTCAAGTTTTGATAGTAAAAGGTGAGTGAGTATCGTCTCCACAGGAATTAGGTATTAAATTGCTGCTAAATACTTAGATTATCATAACTCAACTTTATCTAGACAATCAAACTCAATGAAATAAAAATAGAACTAGAACAAATATAAATACAAAAATAAAATAAAATATGGAAACTAAAACACACAAATGTAGTAGGGACACAAATGTACTAGGGACTTGACTTGACCTTATCATTCCTATGTTCATCCTATCAAACCATTGTTAGCCAATTCC